TGACACCAGATTAGGTGACTACCACAAGCAGCAATGGATATGGGTGTGGATCTGTCTGACTGTCATTATTTTTCGCTTTCTACAATAGTGCCATGGCCCTCACGTGGCGCTGTCGGGCAAGCATCAGACTGCTAGTTGGAAGGTCGGCAGTTCAAACCCACCAGCAGCTCATCAGGAGAAGGATGAGGTAGTCTGCTCCCATAAAGACCGACAGCCTCAGAACCCCTCTATGGGTTCACTAGTGTCAGAATCCACTTGGTGGCTGTGGGGTAGGTAGGTTATATATCAAGGGCCCTGGTGTTTTGTTTTATTTTTTAATTTTATGGTATGTATCGATGAGCTAGTGGAGAATGATGAAAGTACCATGGACTGACCGAGGAGCAAACAAATCTGTTTTGGAAGATGTATAGGCAGAATGTTCCTTAGAAACAAAGGGTGCCGGGGCTTTATCCCACATATTTGGATCATCTGATCAAGAAAGACCAGACCTTAAAAAAGAGAATCGTGCTTGGTAGAGAGTCCGTGGAAAGAGGAAGAACATCGGTGGGATGGACTGGCACAGTGGCTGTGAAAATGGGCTCCAACGTAGTAACAGTTGTGCAGATGGCGCAGGGCTGGGCGGTTTGCCCTTCTGTGGTACACTGGGTCGTTTCGAGCCAGAACCAGCTGGACCACACCAACTCACAGCACCTAGGAGTGAGCGAGCCGTCTCCATCTGGTTTTCTGAGACAGGACCTTATCATTTTCTACAGTGGTGAGACCATCTTATGGCCCCACCCGCGGTGGATCAGAGTTCCAATCTTCCCCTCTCCTTGTCAGCATTGTTGTAGTCTGTGTTTAGATGTTTTTTTAATCCATGCCCTTTGGGAGTCAGGGGGCATCTTACTGCAGTTTTGATTCACAGCTCTGGTGGCCAACGTTGTTTTGAGGTGCCATCGAATTGTTCTGACCCATAGCGACCCTGTGCCCAACAGAAGGAGGCATGGACCAGTCCTGCTCCACCCTTGAGATTGCTCCTGTGCCTGAGCCCATCATGGTAGCCCTGGTGTCCCTCCATCTTGTTGAGAGCCTTCCTCTTTTTCTCACCCTCTACCACGCATGCTGTCCTTCTCCAGGGCTGGTCTCTCCTGACAGCATGTCCAAAGTATGTCAGATGAAGTCTGGCCAGTCTAGTCTCTAAGGAGCGCTCTGGGTGAACTTCTTCCAACATAGATTGCCTTCCCCTTTTAGCAGTCCGTGGTACTTTCTTTCTTTTCTTTTCTTGGTACTTTCAACATTTTTCTCCAGCACCCACCATACTTCAAATGCATCAATTTTTCTACGGTCTTCCTTATTCAATGAACTTGAACACCCATAGGAAGCAGTGGAAATGCTGTGGATGAGTCAGACAACCATAGTCCTCAAAGGAACATCCTTGCTCTTCAATCCTCTAGAGAGATCTTGTGCGTGAGATTTACCTAACACGATGTGTCATTTGACCTCTTGACTGCTGTTTCCATGAGCACTGTTTGTGGATCCAAGCAAGACAACATCCTTGACAACTTTTAACTTTTACTCCGTTGATGATGATGTTACCTCGTGGTTCAGCTGTGAGGATTTGAGTGCTCTTTACATTGAGGTGTCGTCCATACTGCAGGCTGCAATCCTTGATCTTCATCAGCAAGGGCTTCAAGTCCTCCTCACTTTCAGCATGCAAAGTTGTATCACTTGCATAGCACAGGTTTTTGACAATCCTTCCTCCAATCCTGATGCCACACTCTTCTTCAGATAAGCCAGGTTCTCTGATGATTTGCTCAGCATACAGATTGAATGAATATCGTCGCGATTTCCTGATTTTATACCATGCAGCATTCCTTTGTTCTGTTTGCACAGCTGCCTCTTGATCCACGTCCAACTTCCTCACGAGCACAACGGCTTGTTCTGGAATTCTCGTTCTCCTCAAGGTTACCCAGAGTTTATCATGGTCCACACAGCTGAATGCCTCCGGATAGTCAATAAAACCCAAGGAAGCATCTTTTTGGTGTTCTCTGCTTTGAGTCATGATCCATGCGGCATCAGCAATGATATCCCTTGTTCCATGTCCTCTTCTGACTCCAGCCTGAACTTCTGGCAGCTCCCTGTCATGTGCTTCTGCGGCTGTGGTTAGATAATCCTCAGCAGAATTTTACGTGCGTGCCGTATCAATGACATTGCTCTGTAGGTTGAGCATCTGTTGGGCCACCTTTCTTTGGAATGGGCACAAATATGGGTCTCTTCCCATCAGTGGACCAAGTAGCTGTCTTCCGAATTTCCTGGCACAGACGAGTAACTGCTTCCAGGGCTTCTTTGGCTTCCAGGAATTGATGGAACATGAATCAGAATGTTTCCGCAAGCTGGTGGCCTAGGAGCAAACATCTCGTCGTCTGATTGTTGGCTGCCTGAGTGTCCTCCTTGATGAAGGCTCTGTTCGTGTCCTTTGTCCATTTCACGATTGGGTCTTTGTCTTTCTGTGGTTGAGCTGTTGCCCTTTCCTCTAGATTCTAAAGGTTAGACCCTTATCAGATAAATCATTTCCAAAGGTCTTTACCCCATCCGTGGGTTATCTATTTATTCTTTACCTAAAGTCTTCTGATAAGTGGAAATGCGTGATGTTTTTGAGGTCCCACCTACTGCTTTTGTCTCCCCCTATATGTGCATTGGCCGCAACGCCTGCGACCCCATTCTCACAAAGGATGAGAGCCTACAGTGCTCTTCCCGGGGTGTCCCCCAGGAAGTCCCGTTTGAACATTGAGGTACCTCTCTGATGCATTTTTAGTTAGATTTTGAGTGGTGTGAGGTGTGGGTCCTGTCTCGTTTTCTGCAGGTATCAGTTGGTCCAGGACCTTTCACATTGAAGAGGAGGTGTCTGTCGCATTGAAAGTGCGTCCTGGACCCGTTGTCAAAAATCCACTGTCCATCCATGGCCGGATGTGATCCCAAGTTCTCACGCCAGTTCCACTGGTCTGTGTGTCTGTCATTGAGCCAGAACCAGGCTGCCTTAGTGACAGTGGCCGTGTAAACGCAAAGTCCCTGCCATCGAGTCAATTCTGACTCACAGAGACCGTCTAGCACAGCAGTTCTCAACCTGTGGGTCTTGACCCCTTTGGGGGTCGAACAACCCTTTCACAGGGGTCGCCTAAGACCATCAGAAAGCACATAAATATCTCACAATATATAATTACATATTGTTGTGTGCTGAGTCACTGTGCTTTAATTATGTTTAATTGTGTTCGATTTGTAACAATGGAAATACATCCTGCATATCAGATATTTACATGACAATTCATCACAGTAGCAAAATGACAGTGATGAAGTAGCAACGAAAAGAATTTTATGGTTGGGGGGGTCACCACAGCATGAGTAACTGTATGAAAGGGTTGTGGCATTAGGAAGGTAAAGAACCACTGCTCTAGGGCGTAGAGAACCACCGCCCTTGTGGGTTTCTACGGCTGGAAATCTTTATAGGGCATCACCCCTCGCCTTTCTCCCACGTAGCCTGGGGTAGTTTTGAACTGCTGACCTCGCAGTCCACCGCCCAACATGGAAGCCGCTCTGCCCCTGGTGGCTGTGTCGTACATGTTCCTACCGGGAAATGGGAGAGCCCTGCTCTGTCCTTTCCCACGAGTGCGGCCTTGGCTGTTCAGAGGGCCTTTCTTTCCCATAAGAAGCTGGTCACTCATTTTCCCATCGCAATCGAGAACGCTGTTGGGATTCGGGTCAGGATTGCACGGAATCTGTAGATGGGTTGTGGTGGAATCGGCATTTTCCCTATCCCAAGTCTTCAGATTCATGAGCAAAGGTGTCTCTCCCATTTTTACAGGTCTCTCACACTGTATGATGATTCTCAGGGTCTTCTCTGTCCTGGGTTACGTTAGTTCTCGGGCATTTTTAAGTCAATTTGGGGACTTCCGCTCCTTGCAGAGTTCGTTTGGTGTCAGTTTCATAAAGCATACCCAGAGCCGTCAACAACTGGCCAAAGCAGAAAGATTGGAAAGTGCTTGGATTTATTTCCCATAACATATGTGCTGAGGCATGTGCCCAGCACCCTGCAGTGCCTGAGCTACGTAGTGTTTGGCTTACAGGTGTGGGAAAATCTGGGCACAAAGCTGGGATTTCTTTCTCTCTCTTTTTTCCCATCTCAAGCCCCTTACAGTGCCCCTGCCTGGTGTCTGCGTCCCAAGTCCTCTTCCTCGGCTCCTTCCAGCTGCCCTCAGCCCAAGCCCATCTCTGTGCAGGCAGGGCGGCCGTGGAAGGTCCACGGATAAAGGGTTGGCAGGGTTGGAGGAATGAACCTGGCACTTGTCTGAGGATACCCTCGCCCTGCCCATCCCGCACCCGTTCCTTCTGTCTTCAGTGTTTGGCATGGAAGGCGCCCAGAAGCCCATCCATCGGGACTTCTCAGGGCAGGGAGCTTCTCCAGAGCAGCCTTGGGCGCTGATCTGGCAGGACCTCTCCCAGCATCCTCAGCATGGCCCTCCCAACTCAGGAGTTCCTGCCGGGACTGCTGTGGGCATTTCCCCACCCCAGCCCTGGCCACCGAGATCTCATCGGCATGGAATGAACTGCTGGATGAGAGGAAAGTGCACACCTTCCTCCCTGCCCGACCTTGAACTCTGCCCCAGCCCCCCAGCTCGCCCCAGTGAAAGGCAGGTCTCTCCCCACCGCCAGCGTTTAAGCCTCCACACACCAGCCTCAGTTGCCAGAACTTTAACCCCTAGGGAACCTAGGGCAATAGCTGGCCAGGAGTCGGGGGGAGCAGAAGGCAGTATTTCTGGTCCCAAGAAAGGCCGTGTGACCTCAGACAGCCCCTTTGTTTCTCTGAGTCTCTTTTCCCAGTTCTGAGAAAGCCCAGTGAGAATCTGGACTTTGTAGCCGGGCTGAGAAGCTGAAGTAAGACAGCGGGGGGCAGCCTGGCCCCAGTGGGAGGCTTCTGACCCAGCGAGTGAGCCCGGGGCAGGGCCCAGTGACAACAGAGGGCGTAGTTTTGTGCTGGGGCCACTTCGTGAGTCCCAGGAAGGGGCCAGTCTGGCTCCAGGGTCAGGACTAGAAGTGAGTGTGGGCGGAGGAGAGCGGTGGGAGGTGAGGAGGGGTGAGAGCGGGGACCCGCACCCTGCCCTTGCAGGTCAGCTATGGGGCAGGCAGGTGCTGAGGTGTGCTCCTTGATCTGCAGCCTTGCAAATCCAGGGGTGCCACGGGCCTGTGGGGAGAGGGCAGCAGCTTCTCTCCAGCAAGGTGCTCCTGCCCAGGGGGGCTGCAAAGGGGCAGTCAGGGTTGAGGGAGCCAGCAGGCCGGGCTCTCGGTGCCAAAGAAGGCCCCTGAAGGTTGGGGCAGGCCGTGGCGGGTGGCAGGACAGGGCTGGGGGACAGCTGCACTGAAGGCCCTGGGACCTCGGCGGGGCCCAAGCCCATCGAGGGTAGAGGGCACTCGAGGAGGCCCAGGGGGTCAGGAGGCCGCAGAGGTGGGGAGGGGTACAGAGCCCAGGGCAGGGAGGCTGGAGCCTGGAAGAGGCCGGGCTGCTCTGTACACTCAGGGGGCCCAGGGTCCCCTGGGGCCGTGAGAGAAGAGGCAGCCTTGGGGCACAGGCGCTGATGCACATGCAGGGTCCGGCCCCACCAAGCCAGCTCAGCCCGCAGGGCCTGGATCTCCTTCCGAAGAGCGTGGTTGTGCTTCTCCAGGGACTCGTGCTGCTGGGGGAGAGACAGGTGGGAGGGGAGAGGGTGGTGAGCCAGCACCAGGGTCCTGGACTTCAGAAGCACCAATACCACCACCAAGATCCAAGTCCCCTGACCCCCTCTCCCCACCCTGCCTCCTAGTAGGGCCCTCCCATTCTGGCCCTCTCTCCCTTCCCACGCACCTTGTCACCCGGTCTCTCCCACACTTCCGTGTGACCCTGTAGGACGGAGTCAACTGCCCAGAGGTTTCCAAGGTCATCCTTATGAAAACCAGCGCGGCCTCATCTGTCTCCCCAGGAGTAGCTGGTGGGTCCCAAGGGCCAAGCTTTGGGGCTTTGGGTTAGCAGCTGAAAGTCTCCTTCCTCCCGTTACATCTTGAGCCCCTTTCCCTGCCTGGTCCTCCCCTAACCCACTCTCTTCTGCTCACAGCAGCCTGCGAGCTTCCGAAGGCCCTGGTCATTAACCAGCAAGTAAGGTCTGTGGGAAGGACCCGCCCATGAGGCAATCCTGGCCAGCCCGGCCACCGGCTCCCACGGACTGTCTCTCCCACGGTGCCTCCCTCACTTCCTGCCCCTCCAAAGGGGCAGTTTCCTGGACACAGTTCCTGTGTCCTCAGCCTGCACACTGCCCCTTGTCCTCCCCCCACTACCCCCCACATGCAAATTGGCATCCCTCTGACCCAGAGCTGTGGTTACTTTGAGTTGAAAGGTCAGCAGTTTGACACCACCAGCTGCTCTGGGGCTTTCTTTCTCTTCCGGGAAGGAGCTGCAGGCTCGGGCATTCACAGGGGCAGCCCTGCCCTGGCCGCTAGGCTCACTGGGAGTCGTCATCAACTCAGTGGCAGTGGGTTTGGTTTGGTTTGGGGTTTTTGTCCCAGGCGCGCCTGGGTGGCTTAGTGTGGCTGCTAGAGTCTCTCCAGCACCCAGGAGGGGGGAGGGGGCCTCCC